ATAGTCACAGCCTTGAAAACCCTCTGGTTGGTTCTGCTCTGTCAGACAGGGTCAAGATGAGTCAGATTCTACTTGACTGCAGTGGGTTTGTATATTTTTATTCAGAGATTAGAAGGCAAAGAAGATAAGGACCTCAATTGTTTTTAGTCAGTGCATTACACATAGCTAGACATGTGAGATGTTTTCAATAGAAAATGAAAGAATGTAAAAGAAATGTTATTTGAGGGTGTGTGTGTGTGTGTGTGTGTGTGTGTGTGTGTGTACAGCAGATACTCTGCGAGGTGACTCCAATTCTCAAATCTCTGATGCTCCTCTGAGATGACTATGTCTTTTCCTCTTAAACCTGCACAGTCTTGCCACATTCTTGACCCACAAGATAAAGCTGAAGTGGCATGATCCAGTTCTTTAAATGGCTGGCAGCTTCTGCATTTGCTATCTTGGAGAGAACTGCCACTCAGTGAGAAAGTTGACCTAGACCATGGAAGGAGGAGAGTGTGACACTGAGATTGACAGCCAGTCCCAGCTAGCTGTACCGTGATTCACTCCTGATTCAGAGAATCATGAGCCATAAAACAGAGGCTGCTTTAAAGCACTAAGTTTGGGTACGGCTTGCAGCGTTGCAGCAAGCGTAAATAGAAAACTGTACTCTCATCTTAAAAATCACACTGGCTATTAGATTCTCTTCACACTGCTGTTTCTAAGAAGTCAGACTTTTTGGTGAGACTCAGAAGCCTTATCTCTTTATGCCTGCAGCAAAGTAACACTGAACCTCTGGTTCCCTGGAACAGCCACAGAGGATTCAGCATCTTTATATCACCACTCTACCGTCTGCTTTTTCCTTGCTGTATTTCACATATTGTCGCAATTCTGCTGTTTCTATTTATTTGTTTGATCTTTGCAAGATGCATTAGAGCAAAGATTTGTCTTGATCCCCAAATGATTGTCTAGGTGTCTGGCACATGATAGATGTTCAGTAAATTGTTTCTGGATAAATTAAATGGATCATCCTCTGCCTTACTGTTCCCATCTGATAAATCCCACACCAGCTCCAAAATCCCCAAACTGTCCAAACAGAATGTATGTCCCTGTCCTACCACTGTGCTGTCTCCTGCCTTTTCCCGCCCACATAACTCTCAAATATGCTGTGCTCACATGAGCCCATTTTAGTGTGATAATAAATCCTATGATTACAGAGAACATTGATAGCATAAGTCCAATGTTGTTGTTGTTTGTTAAGTGTCTCGAGTTAAGCACAGTCCTATGAACAAAAGACCCTCTGAACAAAAAAAGAACCTATGACCAAAAGATCTGAACCCTGTTCTATAACGATCATCGTTTCTCTAATGTTCATAGAGTTTCCAAAGTTGTTGTTTAGGAAGTGGATGCCAATTCTGCTTCCAAGCCTGTCTTAATCTGGGAGCTCCACCAAACACTGTCCACCATGGGTAACCATTATGGCACTCCAGCGGCACAACATTCAGCATCACAGCAACCACTTCTTACCTCAGGATAGCAAACTGATGGACCAGTGCTATACCACTTAGAAGAATGTTCTTCCCAAGCATAATTAACACTAGGTCCTGATTGACTTAAACAAGAGGCTTCCAGCCCATAGCTGATTGTTAGCTAAAACCAGTAAATCCAATCAGCTCGCTCAAGGCCATGGCTAGCGATTTCTGGATATTTCTTATCATTCATCTTGTATTATAAGTTGAAGGATAGCACCTTGCATTCTCTCTATCAAGTCCTCGATCAAAACTTGTTTTAAAAACATTTACTCTATGGTATAAATAACTGATAGCAACTTCACATGCGATCTCAATTGCCCCAATGGATTCTGAATTTTAACCAAACATTTACAATGCAAAAAGAAACAAAGCTAGCAAGATTTAAAGTTGGGAGCTGACATGTCAGATTCCTACCTACAGCCCCACAATTCAATCCAGCAACAAACCCAACTGTGGTGGAGAGAAGCTGAGGAAGAACGGAAGGAAGGGGACAGTAAGGAGTCAGACTGTGACCAAACCGCAGAAGGAAAGGACAGCGATAAGACAGAGTGGTGTTTTCTTAGGAACCCTGACAGTTGCTCTGATCTGACACGTGGCTCTTCACCTCTCACTTCTGTTTACCACAATTATCTTGGCCCCTGTTCTCAACCCCTCATCCCACTGCTTTCAGTAACTTCGAGTGGACTGATAACCTCTTTTCCCTAAGAGAGTTCTTACCATACTTAAGTGCTCATCTCCCTTGTGGATGCTAACATAATGGGATATTTAGTTTTCTATTGCCTTCTGCATGAAAAATGTACAGAAGATCATGAATAAAAATAACATCTTACTGATTAAATTTCAGCTCTATGTGGTGCTTTTGGAAGCTTCCAGTGAGTCCCAAGTGCTGTATTTCTTAGCACCCAGAGGCACCACTTTGAGAGTCAATCTAATGATGAACTTACAATGATTGTTCACAATTTTTCTCTTTAACTAGATTGTGAGGCTGCTGAAACCTGGGACCATGTCTGTTCATTTTTTTATTTTATTTTTAAACTGTCACTGTCTAATCCCACGTCTGCTATTTATACAGTCAAATACAAGCACATTTGATGTGATGTGGAAGTGTGGATGGCAGGTCATTGGGTTGAGGGTTTTTTGGCTCTGTTGAGTAGCCCAGTTGAACACTGATAATTACAGGTGTAACTTGCTTCATTGTGCTACATTTTAATGTGTTTCACAGCTTTTGTGTTTTTCACAAATTGAAAGTTTGTGGTAACCCTGTGTAAAGCAAATTGGTCAATCCCATTTTTCCAGAAAGTGTGTCTCTCTGTTTGGTAATTCTCACAATATTCCCACTATTTCCATAATACTATTTCACACTTAATAGGCTACAGAAGAGGGAAAACAAAAATTTTACATAGCCTTAGAAGGCAAAAAATTCTTTTAACTTATATTTTATATTTGCTTTATTGTGGTGGTCCAAAACTGAACACAGGGTGCCTACTGGTTAGGAACTGCACTGCCAACCCAAAGGTTGACAGTTCGGATCCACCCACTGCTCTGTAGGAGAAAGGTGGGTAATCTCCTCTTCTGTGATTAACTGCCTCTGAAAACCAACTAGAGGGTTAGCTATCAATTAGTTCCCACTCGATGGTACATCACAACAATAGAACTAAACACGAAAAACCTGAGGAATACTTGAATATACTTTCAATTTCCATCTGGTTACCCACAGTTTCTGATTGCTGTTGTACCACATTTTCTTCTCACCACAGCACTTTCAATTCCGTGTTACGAACAACCTCAGAGACCAGGTCCCAGAGGGAGGTGAAAACAAGTAACCAGAATCCATCTTCCTCTAGAAGATTCCTCACCTTTAACTCAGTCACCAACTGAGTCCTAGACATGACAGCCTGATCCATTCCCCATGTGGCTGCTGGGCAGTGGAGTGACTGGATGAATAAACATAAGGGCCAACTTGACGAGGGACTACGAGATGAGATGCAGGGAAGTGGATTGAAAGGCAGGGGCCAAAGTAAAATGTGTTCTTCACATAAATTCAAAGCTGTGCTGTATTTCCAGAGGCGGACGAAGCAATAGTGATGAGCAGGCACAGTGGAAGGCCAGCTACTGGAATTAGAAAAACCTCTTGAGCAGCAAAGCCAGGCAGAAATGTCCTTCAGTGATGGAACTGTTCTCTAGCTCTGTGGTCCAAAGTAGCCACCAGCATATGTGACTGCTAAGCCCCTGAAAGGTGACTAGTGGGCTGGGGAACTGAGTATAAATTTTATTTTGTTTTAATTAACTTTGCATTTAAATAGACATATGTGGCTGCTAGCTGAGATATTGAACAGTGCATCTCTAAAGTTTGAGGGATGCCTTCCTCCCACGTGTAACTTGGGGTGGCTGACACGTTGATGACTTTTTGAAAGGATTAACAAAGCGAAGTGCCTGGTAAAATGACATAGTTGGCACTTAAAAAATGACAGCAGCTGCTATTGCTCAGAGTTGCAAATTAAAGCTATTTGTGTACAGATCTTTTCAATTTGGCTCTAAAGCACTGGAGATGGACTTTCATTAATTTTTATCATGATTTTGTTTGGTTGGTTGCTCACGTTAGTGGATATGGAGAGTGTGGGCCTCTATTTGAATTCACCAACTAAAAATAGCCAACAACCCTTTCGGGATGTCATTGAAGGCTTTCAGAGATAGATGACTATTCCAAGTGGATCAGCCTGCTGATACTCCTAATGAGCTAATTAGTTTTGACAACAACTAATTTAGCATCTGTAAAAATTGGATTTGTAAAATTACCGTATCATTTTCAAACACTGACATCTGCAACTTTCTGAATGATTCTGGACACAAGTAATGCTTGTTTCAATAGTTATTGTTCAAATAAAGAAATAAGTATTTACTTATTGGGCACATTATTATGCTTTAAGATTTGGACACAAATTGACTTTTCTCCCCTCCTCAGTGACTCACTATATTTTGTTTCACACTTAATTTAAAAAAATAAAATTAATCAAAATATAAAGCATAAAGAGATCATTATAATCAACCCCTTACTGAATAATTGAATTTAAGATCACACACTCTTCTAGGAAAACCTTGATTATTTTCAGGTCAAGAGAATTTGCAATTCATATAAGAGGTTAAAGGATCAGTCTACAGCCCTTGCCTGAAAGAAAGACTTGAAAGAGGGCAAATGTATTTAAATTCAACACATGCTGGAAGGCATTAAGGAAAAGTTGACTGTTATTAAGGAGATAATTAATTTGCATTGGCGGGAAGCCACTTTACAGCGTCTGAAAAAGTGTCCTCAGGACAAAACATAACTGAGAGAATGCAAAGCCACATTTTTAGGAGGGCGTCTTTCGAAACTGCCCTTTAGCTTTGCTGCTTGAAATGCAGAGCCTTCCTCTTCCCCCTGGGCTGTGATCTGGGCTAGCAGCAATGGAGGCGGTGGAGATCAAGGAGCCAACAGGCTTTGTGGCAAAGACTTACCAATGGGCATCACCAGGAAAAAGGGCAGCCAGCAGAGAACGAAGCAGCCCACCACGATCCCCAGCGTTTTGGCGGCTTTCTTCTCCCTGGAAAACTTGAGGAGCCTCACGGAGAAGTTTGTCTTGTTCTTGGCGCTGTTCGTCCCGTTGCCACCAGCAGGGACGTTTTTCCGATGAATGCGCAGCGTCACCTGCTCGGAGTCTGACTTGTCGGTCTTGAGGCCGGACTTGAGGCCCCGACTCTCCCTCTTGGCCACCACGTAGACCCGGCAGTACATGACCAGGATGATGGCCAGCGGCACGTAAAAGGAGCCCAGTGCCGAGAAGAGCACGTAGCCGGGCTCCTCGGTGATCTGACAGATGGTCTCGTCGTCGGGGGCCGGCTGCCTCCAGCCGAACAGAGGCCCAATGGAGATGACCAGCGAGAAGGCCCAGACGCACAGCAGAGCCATGAGGCCCCTGCGCTGGGTGACGATGGTCGGGTAGCGCAGCGGGTAGCTGACGCCGATGTAGCGGTCGATGGAGATGATGCAGAGCCCCATGATGGACGCAGTGCAGCACAGCACGTCCACCGCCGCCCAGATGTTGCAGAAGACCCTACCGAAGGCCCAGTAGCCCAGGATCTCGAAGATGGCCGAGAAGGGCAGCACGGTGGAAGTGAGCAGGAGGTCTGCCACCGCCAGGTTGACGATGTAGTAATGAGTGACGGAGTGCAGATGGCGGTGACAGGCCACAGAAAGGATCACGAGGATGTTTCCCAGCACCCCGAAAAGGATGAGGCCCCCCAAGATCACTCCTAACAGAATGGCCTTGGAAATGTTCACTGGCGCGGGCGAGTGAGTGCAGTTGGAGCTCTCGGAGGCGTTTCCGGCGAGAAACACCATGGTCCCAGCCTGGGGCCAGCGAGGTCCGGCGATCCAGGGCCACCCCCGGGCGGGGCGGGAACGCAATAGCCGAGTCAAAAGCTTTTGGCTCCGGCCAGTCCTGCCCGCTGGGCTTGGTTCGGGGTGAAGGAGAAAGGAGGGATGGCAAGCCACCCCGGCCAGCCTTGGAAATCCTCACAAGGCAACAGAAAGGGGCAGGGCGTTAAGGACGACATGGCCGGGGGCGCGGGTTTGCCCGCGGACCCCCTCCACAGCTTTGCAGGGCCGCCCCCCCCCCCCAAGTCCCTTCCTAACCCAGCCTTGACGAGAAGCTCAAGGAGACACGTTGTAAATTCGTGATCCGAGAATTACAGCAGTCCGCGTTCTGGGGCGCTCTGGTCCGTCCTGGAGCGGAGGAGACTCAGCATTCTGCACGCAGTTGGGAACTCAATAACCGATCGCCAGTCTCCCATCAAAACACGGTCAAGTCCAGGTCTGCCGTCGAAGCTGAAAGGCGGGGGCTCTGGCATCTGGGCGACGCTCCCCGCACACAGTCAGTGGCAGTGTTGGCTGTCTCACCGGCGACAGAGATGAGGAATGGCCTCGTGCTAGATCCACACTCTAGGCAGAGGGGCTTAGAGCCCGGAGTGCCAAAGCTTTACCAAGATCTAGGCGGCTGCTCAGTATCGTCTGCCCACTCTCTCCTGAAAGAGCCCAAGAGAAAGGTCGCGTGTGAGCTGGGAGCCTTGGGAGGGTGGCCTTACCCAGCTCGACGGGCGGCCGGTCTCTGTGCTGGAGAAGCGGCTGTGGAGGCTCCCCGCGAGGGGAGCGCGCCCGGCACCCCTGCCCCTGCGCGCCCGAGCCGCCGGGAATTCGCCTTCGTGCGCTCGGCCGGGCCGCGCGCGCCCTCAGCCCTGGGTCAGATCCGAAGGCAATGAACCTCCACAGCCGCGCCCCGCGGCCGGGTTCCGAGCTCCAGTAGCGCGAAATGAAAATCCCCGTAGCCCGCCCGGGCGAGCCTGGCTGGCGTGTGTGTCACGCCGCGCCGGCGAAATCTGGGAAATCTACTGGGTTGTCTTTTGAACAGGTTGCTTCCCAGCCACCTGGAGGGGGCGGCCTGGGAGAAGGAACTGCTGCCACCCAGGGACCGCAGGGACAGTGCCACGCGCACGCTCACGCCCGAGGAACTCGCTCTAAGGCTCTGCGCACCGCGCGCGTCTGTCGAGAAGCCAGGGCCGCCTGAGTGCCAGGTTGCAGTTTAAGTCCGCTGGTCCGAGAGGACTGAAAGAGACCCCACGTTGGCCCGGGACTATTTTCTAAGTCACAGGGTCAGCAGCCCCTGCTGGGTTCTAGCCCAGACGCAGTACCCAGATTGTTGGGGAGGTGCAAGGGGCGGGGGAGGGGGCAGGCCGCCAAGGAAGGGGCTTTGCAAGTGACAGGCACTGCGGCTTTCTGTGAGGGTGAAAAATGAAGGCGGTGCGCCCTAGAAAAGGGGATTTAACAGGTAAGAATCTTGCTCCCACTGCTGCAAACAATCACAGGGAGCTGGACCAGAGGAGCGGGCAAGAGAGGGGTGTTTACCTTGGCTTCTAAAGATTTAGGGCCTTGGCCTTGGAAGCAAGACCCTCAGGCAAAAGGCACTGTGGTTCGCAAAAAACCTCCTAGATTGTCCTAGAAACAAGTAACGAGGAAGATCTGCCTTCTCTTATTCTGGATCGATAAAGGGTTAAACAGACACTTGTTAACTAGGCGATAACTTCACGGAATAATAAGAGATCTGGGTCGGAGGATGAGTGCTGGTTTAAAAACTGGTGGAAAGAAGAGGGAAGGGCTTGGGGAAAGTGGGCGTTTCATCTGGCTCAAAGGCTGGGGGGAACATTGGCCCTCATCCACCCAGCCCCACTTGAGGTCTGTGTCCTGGCCCAGCGTCGCCACTCACTCACCTGGAGCGCAAGATGTGAGACCCACAGCCCGCTGGCGGGTGGGAGCGCTCCGGGGCTTCGGTCCCAGGATCAGCTCTGCCACCTCCTCTCTGAGAAGAGGGTGATAGGTGACTGTCTCTTGAAAGAACCAAACCTTAGCTAGCACCACCAGCTGACTCACTCCTCTACCACCGATGTCTTTAAGCTCCCGGCTCACTATGACTTTATCTGCACATTTTTAAATGAAAATAGAAAAATAAAAAAAGACGTCGAGCTAACCAATAACTCCACAATCATGCTGTTAATATTCAGCTCTCAGACACCAGCGAAGAACCGCAAGGAACTTTGCAGCTCTCGCTGACGTAGCACAGGCAGTGGCCCCGGCTAGTACCGTAATCTCCCGGTGTTACCGTATTACTCTGCCGCAACAAACACCAGCATTTCCTTGAGTATAATTTTCTTTCTTCTGTCCAGCAGAAGTCTTTGATTTCTTAAAAAATGGGGGGGGAGACGATGGGTTTATTTTAAATTTTATGCAAAAACGTCTTTAAATGGTCTGATTTCCTAAGTAAGGAACAATTGATACCCTGGCCATATGGAAGTTACTCTGTGTATGAAGTGATCAAGGAAATGTACTCTAAAGTTGCTTTGAACAGCTTGACTCCATTAAAACTTGGACTTTGTTGTTAAAAAATCAAGAACAAGCAAATTGTTATGCCCAACATGCATAATTAAATCATTGTAAATGTTTTCAGAAGTGATTAAATCAATAAAATGCAATAAGCCTGAGAGTAAATTAAATTGTATTTTCAGAAGATTAAGTACATAGTTAAGTCTTAGTGAGTATGATCAGTTCCCTAGGTATTGTGTTCCTTGGAGTCAAAACTGACTCATAGCTGACACTCTGGCTTGGCTGTTTTTCAGAGGCAGTAAATCACTCACTCAGGGAGAAGACTGCCCTTCTTTCTCCTGTGGAGCAGCTGGTGGATTCCAGCCAGGTGCTCTTGTGTTGGTAGCATAACCTTTCACCACCTAAACCACCAGAGCTCCTCTGATTACTGGTAGAGAAGGAAATAGTATTATCAGCACATACGGTCTGTTTCCCATTTCTTTAAACAGACACATTAAAGGACATTGTAGTCCCTCTGTAGTGTATGACTTGATGTTATATTTCATGCAATCAGAAACAGACTCATAGCTAATCCTCCAGCCAGTTTTTCTGAAGCTTCATGTCAATCAGGAAGATGTTGCCCATCTTTTTCCTTTGCATGGCTGGTGAATTAGAACCACCTGCCTTTGGGTTGACAACACAACTAGTTGTGGTTGTTATGTGCCCTGAGCCAGAAATGATTCATAGCTGATCCTCAGCAGGTTTTCAGAAGCCTGATCCAGGCCATGGTCTTTGCAAATACTTGCTATGCATCAGACAGCTGGACAATGACTAAGGGTGGTAGAAGGAGAATTAATGCCTCTGAGCTGTGGTGCTGGAGAAGAGTATTGAATATACCATGGACTGCTGAAAGAACAAACAGGTTCATCCTGAATAGGGTGAAACCAGGCTGCCCCTTGGAAGCAAGGATTCTGAAGCTCTGTCTGACATTCTTTGGGCATGTTGCAAGGAGGGACCAGTCCTTGGAGAGGAACGTCATGCTTGGGAAGCTGGAGGGACAGCACATTAGAGGAAGACCCTGGATGAGATGGATTGACTCAGTAACTGTGGTGATGGGGGTAGGTCTGTCAGAGACAATAAGGTTGACTCAGGCTAGAGCAGGGTTCAGAGCTGTTGTAGGGTTGCTATGAGTCGCAGGCAACTTGATGGCACATAACATAAAATAATTATCATTTAAGGACTGTTGCTTCTCTTTAATTTTTAAGTTTCATCTCATTGTCATGGGTTTTTGAGGTTGTAAGTCACATGGGCAGAGGTTGTCCATCTCTTTCTCCAGAAGAAGCGCTGGTGGGTTTGAACCAGCAGGGAGAGGCTGCCTTTGTGTTAGCAGCACTATCCCTAGAGCATCAGAGTCCCCTAAACATTACTGTTGTTGCCATTGTTAGGTGCCTTCCAGTTGACTGTGACTTACAGCAACTATACTTCTGCTCACAGAGGGTTGAGTATTTGCTTTCTTAAAAAAGAGTTAAGAGTTGGATATTTTATTTGTTGTGTTTGGTGGAGCTTTCAGTTGTAAAACAGGTTTGGAAGCAAGAGTGGCATCCACTTCCTAAATGGAAACTCTATGAACTTGGAGAAATGGCAATAGCTATAGAAGGACATTAGGTCCTTTGTTCATAGAGTCACTATGAGTCATGCTCAACTCAACAGCAACCATCAACAACAACAACAGTAAGCAACATTTTTAAATGGTCTAATTTCAGAAATAGGGAAAAATTGACATGCTGGCCTGATGGAAATGACTGTGTATAGATTGTGATCAAATAAATGTCCATTAAAGCATCTTTGAACAGCTTGACTTCATTTAACACTTGGAGATAGAAAAAGCAAATTGTTGTGCCCTTGAACCTGGCAATAATGAAAGAACTCCAAACAGTAGCGTGCACCTAAATTCCCTCTCCCACATAAACCTTACTAATATTTTACCTAATATTTTCCAAGTAAGATAATGTTTAGAAGGGTCTTAACTAGCAATAAATCTCAAATGTCTCGGAGGAATGCCAGTAGGAGAGCGGTATCTAATCCTTAGATTCCCTTCTTGCCTGCATAATATAATCCTTCCACTTTCATTGTACCTTTAATAGTAGTACCCACACCTGTCTCTTCTGATTGGCCTTTACTGTATTTAAAAAGTACATACACAAACAACTTGCTCATCCATAAGCTGAATTTTATACTGTATGAGGAACATACTGGGTGAGGGGCTTAGGTTACCTGATTTCTCTAGCCCCAGCTCTTCTAACTCCCGCTGGGATTCAGTTTCTTCAAGCAGAGGCTGGAACACAATTCTCAGCCCCTTCTATATGCTATGTCTTGTCTCCAGAAATCCCATCAGCCAGAGGAGTATATTACTATTTAGCTGTATATTCATTAACCTTATGTCATGAGTATGAGTTCTTCATTAAGATCTGTTCCCTGAAAGTTCAGAGAAGTAGTATTATCAGCAAGAAAACAAATGAAAAGTGCTCATCTCTACAAGGTCAAAATGTATTTATATCTTTGAAATTTCCAATTCCTCTACCCCTCAAAAAGAAAAAAAAAATGAAAAGAAATATGCCTACCCCTTCCATCTTCCAGCACCAAATACCAAGGGTAGAAAAAGTGGATTCTTTATGT